AGGAGACTCTAGCAAATACATTAGCTAGAGTTGTTACTGATGCTGAACGTTTGGGATTATCAGAAGAGGAGATGCAAGAATATGTTAAGAAGAGACTTGCAGAGGAAGCTAATGTGACAGAAGAACAATTTGAACAAATTCATGATATGCTCGAAGGCGATTTGACGGGATTCCGTGATAAAATAATAGAAATGAAGCGGAAGGCTGATGATGAACTATTTGCCGAGAATAATCGTATTAATAGAGATGATAGCTTACAAATGGGTAGATTGGCTGATCATGCTCAAATGGTTGAAGCACAAGCATTAAAAGCTGGAAATATTATAGGATATAATTCTGCTGCTGGTGGACGAAGTTATAGAATACTTAATGGACAAGAAGCAATAAGTGGCAATAAGCTCAGGGCTATGATGCATGTTGCTCAGTAATAATAATAATCATTTTAATGATGATGATGATGATGATCTTCTTTAGAGCCAATAGTGGATCATTAATTGACGATATTGCTGCTGCTAAAGGAGTATCTACTACAAGGATAGCAAACGTAATGGATGCAGTATCATCATATATGATACTCATCAAGAGCTTTATGGATGAGGTACTATCATATAGTCCTTATTATAAGCATAATCATCAGTGATATTAGTAGTAGTAGTATTGATTATGTTGTTGTTGGTGTTATTGGTAGATGAAAGCTGAACTAGGATCGGTAAAAGGTCGATTATCAGATCTACAGGGAGAATATGAGGATAAGATCAATACTAATACCAAAGAATGTAATAATAATAATCAACAACAACCTTATCATGTACTATCGCATGGTATCAATTCCATAATAATAATAATAATAATCATTATTATGATATAATTACGTGTATAAGAATATCATGAGACTTCTTGACAGATATGAAACCTGCTCTTATGGCTTTACAGGCGATCTCACAGTTCGACAGGTGATAATGGAGATTCATAATCATAATCATTATAACAATAATAATCATGAATGTTCTTCAGCTTCCAACGTGAGAATAAACCTCTACAGGATGTATTCCGTAATAAGGCACGAGAGATGATGGATAATGTCAAAGGGAGTGCTGATAAAGCTGAGTAATAATAAGATATTTCATCATCATATTCATCATCATTATGATCATCATTACAGACGGATCGCTAATAGAATAAGTCATCGAATCGATAAGGGTGCTTCAATTGTCGAGAATATTCGTCAGAAGGTCCAATCATCATTAGAGAGGTAGTAATAGTAGTATAAGAATCATGTTGACTGTTATTATTATTATTACAGACATGTCGGGGAAAAGAAACAGATCTTTGCTAAGGAATTGTTGAAGATCACCACTGAAGAATCCAAGCCTTTGAATGTGATGATAAATACCACATAATAGGATCCTCCTCCTAGCTCGAATAAGTGTTGATTATGATTATCATAATCTTCACTATATGTTGTTATAAAAAACCATGATATTACCACTAATGTGTGATAATGTGGATCATTAATAATAACATCATCTTGTGTTACTCATTGGCAACAATACTACTACTACTACCACCACAACACTATGGAAGAAGTAGAGAATTGATAAACTATACAATGAATAATGCTAGTAAAGCCTATGTGTTGTTGAGGTTACCTCTCTAGCGTCGTTCCTACTATACAACGACTATGAATAATGCTAGTAAAGCCTATGTGTTGTTGAGGTTACCTCTCTAGCGTCGTTCCTACTATACAACGACTATGAATAATGCTAGTAAAGCCTATGTGTTGTTGAGGTTACCACTCTAGCGTCGTTCCTACTATACAACGACTATGAATAATGCTAGTAAAGCCTATGTGTTGTTGAGGTTACCGCTCTAGCGTCGTTCCTACTATACAACGACTATGAATAATGCTAGTAAAGCCTATGTGTTGTTGAGGTTACCACTCTAGCGTCGTTCCTACTATACAACGACTATGAATAATGCTAGTAAAGCCTATGTGTTGTTGAGGTTACCACTCTAGCGTCGTTCCTACTATATGTCTTCTTTGAAATATATCCAAAAATAGGAAGAATAGCAAGTTAGTGTGTTAATGATGTAGTGGTGTATAATCATCAATTATTGTCCTAATACTCTATAATCCTCTTCAATAGTAACCTGCAATAGGTCTTATTGACCTAACACTCATCAAGGAAGGCTACGTTTAAAGTGATAACTCTGGCAGTTAACTTTGGCAGCAAATGATAAATAGTAGTACTAGTAGAACAAATAATACCACAGCAGTAGTAACAGCAGCATAATCATCACAATCGTGTATCACTATAAGTAGTACTATTATTATCATATTAAGGTAGTAATCTAAAACAATACTCATGCTCCTACCATCACCACCACATTACAGTAGTTAGTAAAACTCTTCCTCGTAGTCGACCTTTTATAATCATCATCATCATGTTCTTCTTTTCCTTTTTCTGTAATGCATTATCGTTATCCCTTGTATGATGATTATATTGGGAAGTAGTAGTAGTAGTAGTAGTAGTAGCAGTAGTAGTAGTAACTATCGTGTCATATAGCTTGCTTTATCATAATCTCCATTATGAGATTATGACTACTATTGAGAGTGTTGATAAACTCTAGAGTATTAATAGTAAATTGAGAAACGTTAGTACTTGAGAGATAGACTAAGTATTATTATTATTGTTGTTATTATTATTCAATGTAGCCTTCCGAGCCTCTTCCAATGTAAGTAATCTACCATATTAATCATAATACAATTATAATGATTAGTATGATGATAATAACTTTTTCCTTACCTAGGCTCATATAAGAATGATGAGGATGCTGCTGCTGGTAATTTGGGTAGGAATATGCATACATTGTCGTGTAGTATGATCTTAACCAACAACCATTGTATTATTGAATCACCATCATCATCTATGAAGGAATCTCCTATTTGGATAGTATCTACTACAAGTACTACTACTACTACTACTACATATATCATCAACATCATTACTACTATTACCTTTATAGGCTGTATCGGATACCTCATTATGATCACTACTCTTATCATCATCATAACAATACCACTCATCATCCACATCATCATCATCATCATCATCATCATAGTATCCTCCTATTAATCCTCGTTCCAATACAATATCCATAAGGGTCATATTTGACTTATTATAACCATCCCTAATAATACCACTCATATTATTATTACTAGTATAATTATGATGATATTAACTCTACCTGGTCTTCTTTACAGTTGTTGATGCGGCTTGAGCTAGATTGATATTAAAATCTATCCAAGCTGCCTTAGCACGATGATGTGCTAAATCTTGTACATCCCATGGTAAGGTATTGAATAACTGAAGATATGATAATAATAATGATCCAGAAGTTATACTATTATTATTATGATGTTAATTATGACCTTTTTAGGCATATATTTATCCTGTCTACCTAGGAATACTTGTGGATATATAGATGATTGTATCTCCCCACCAGAATAATGTACTATCTTAATATCATCATAACTGATAATCATCATAATATTAACTTGCTGCTGCTGCTGCTGCTGCTGCTTGTGATGATAGTAGTATTACCTCATATGTTGCCATTTATGTGTTAATGGTACACCACCATGAAGTTGAATCTCAAAGTTGTAACTCTGATCTATATGGGTTAAGTAACTGTATAAAATGATAATAACAATAATACTACTAGTAGTAGTAGTATTGTTGTTGTTATTATTATAAGTACTCACGGTGCCAACATCCCTGCTAGATAATATTGTTCAGGGGTCATACCTTTAAGATGATGTCTATGAGGAGTGGTAACATCTTCCCTAATAATAGATATATTACTATTAGTAATAGTAGTATTACTTGAGTAAGTTGAATATATCCTTATCAGGTGATACTAATATAACACCAGCATTGATTAACCAACATCTACCATTCATTTCTTGTCCATGCTTTAACCACAATGATGGTGTTAGTAATAATGTATCATCATCATCATTATCATCATCATCATGATGATTATTATTATTATGATCATTGGCAGTAGTATTATACCATTTACTGTTCTCCATAGCAGCAGGGGATCTCAAATCGAATAAATCATGAATAGGTTTTAATACACATATATCACAATCAAGGAAGAGTACCGTAGTATAGGGTAATACTAAATGATAATGATGATGATGATGAATAAGAACAATGTATATAACTAGTATTATTACCATCTGGATTGAATATATGTAATTTAGTGAAAACCTCCCTAAACCAATCCTTCTTGTATAATGATGATGCACCATATATTATTGGTACACACACCTAATAAAGATAATAAAGCTTATTATTATTATTATTATCATTATTACGGTATTATCAAATATAGCATTAAGTACTGCAATATGTTGTATTGGTACATCATCCGTATAAAGGCATATAACAGGATAGTTAGTAGTAGTAGTAGCTGTTTTATGTATACTATTACAGCATGCTATAGCTTGTGCAATAATATCAACCTAATATTAATATCTAATAATCTACTTCACCAACAATAATAACATTAAGTAGTTATTATTATTATTACTCTATTCCCATATACCAAACATACATAGGCATAAGTAGCAGTGCCATCTGCCTTATTCCTATCAACTCTTTTCCACATTTTCTCTATAGACCTATCCAACTCCGTTATTAATGTTTTCCATCTGATAATAATGATAATACCATAATATCCACATATTGTTATTATTGACACATTGTGAACAATAATGTTGTAACATTATTACTCATCATGACAACAATCCCTCAAATCATCTTGATAAGATCGATTATCATAACGTCCTAGTCGTAGTAGTCCCAACTGATCATCATCATCATCACAAGATGATCTTTGGGGGATAATTCTCATGATAGTATTAGGCACCAAAATCAAACTATTATTATCATCATCAGTAGTAGTAGTGTATTATCACCACTCATAACACAACCTTCTATTACTACGTTGTAGTATTAATGATAGTAAGTAAACACACAAAGAACTACTACTATTACG